ACAACACATTTCATTGTAGTGAATTATTGTATTGTTTGCGGATTGGCCATTTAACAGAATTTATTAGACAGCTAAATGACATTTTTATGCTATACTAAAATATCTTGAGCTGGCAAAAATTTATAGCGACATTCTAGAAACTCCAGTATGATAATGCACGCTGGCTGATCTCGTGGAAGATTTATGAAACTCCATCAAGTGCATATGTTACTTATAGGTAAAATTATTTCTTGTTATTAATTGTATCGCTTTAAGCAGCAGGATCTCAAAGTGACAGATGCAGTAACATCATCCAGAACTTTAAGAAAAATTCTACGTAGAGGACTCTTGCTCTTTCAACGAAATTGTTGCATTATATTTCAGATTCCTGTTTGAACCTTCACACGCATTTGCAGTTATATGAACGTATTTAACCAATTAAACCTTTACGAAAACATGATTTTGTTTTGATGCTGTTTGGGTTTATTTTATTCATTGCCACGAGGAAGCAGGAAAAGAAATGTTATTCTCATTGCTTCCGTAGCCTAGCTAAGACTCAACTAGTCTTGTACAACCTGATATTATCGGAATTCAGATTTCATCAAGTATTGGTATGATTCAGTTACTAATGGACGTGTTTCTATTGAATAAAATGACTTCGTTGATGATATCATGCCTACGGTGCATATTGATATTTATAATTATTTATGCTTTTTGCAGCTTTGACGTTTTGATCGCCCGTTATTATCGGTATGAGTATACCAATTAACCATGATTAAGGTCGAAGGTAGAATATAGTAATAATCAGCAATATGCCACTGATCCAGTTACTATCGCTAAGTATACAGGGTGTTTCAGTTTATTGTTGCATAACTTTAAGATTCGATAGAACTTTTAAAATTAATGCATAAAGTCTATATAAACATGGGTCGAAAAATGCGTGGCTTCCGAAATACAGGGTGTTTAAATTTACTTTTTAAAATAGTTTTTTTTTAAATATTTCGAACAATATTTGATGTATAACAGTGAAAATTGGTATACAAGGGTTTTTTGGTACGACAAAACGAAGCATGGGCATAGTTTTACTGTAGCCGCTAGAGGGCGCTCTCTACTGTACCTGTAGTGTATTAAAATGACCGAAAATTTTTTCTTAGTGCAACTGTTTGCTTTTTGAATAAAAAAACTGATTCTTCGCACTTTTCTGCATAAAAAAGCTCTCCTGTGAGTTTTCGTTATAGTTAGCCGTTTTTGAGATATTTCGATTTTTAAGTTTCGATGCATTTTTAATTATTTATGGGAAAATAACATTTTTTTTACATTTTCGATTTGGGCATTACAAGCAATTAAGGTGATCGTTTAGATTGTGTTTTTAAACACAGCAATAATTCCTAACTCCAAATAAACACAAGAAACAGAATATTAATTTGTTTAATTTTCCAATATTATTTTTAACAAATTAAATTAATTATTTACAACTAAAATGCTATTGGATAGTTAAGACAAACATACAAAATCTAAAGTAGTTGCTCGAAATGTAAACCCAATTGTTCAATACACAATTCACATCTACGAATGATCGAACGCGGTATAGCATTATTCAAATAAGGCCTTATTTCATCACATGCATTCCTGATTCTGTTTATTAGCATATCTCTTGTGGTTACGGGAGTCTGGTTCACTTTTTCTTTTAGAAATCCCCACACAAAGAAATCTAATGGATTTAGGTCAGGGGATCGTGGAGGCGACTGGTCCTCCACGGCCTATCCATCTTTCTGGATAATTTTCGTTCAGCCAGTTTCTAACTATTCTCGAATGAGCTGGACAACCATCAAGCTGGAACCAGGCCAATCTTCTTAAATCTAACATAACATCATCCCACATATTTGCATGTTCAGCCTTTAAAAATTCCAAGAAGGTCGCAGCATTTAACCTTACAGGCAAAAGGTAGGGTCCAAATAGTCAATTACGGTAGATACCAATCCACACGTTCACACTAAATTCATGCTGAAATATGTTGATTATGAAAATTTACCACTCCACGTCTAGTGAAGCATGACTCATCGGTCCATAAAACGTTACTTAAAAACCCCCTATTATTATCAGTTCTATCAAGAATCCACTGACAAAATGTGATTCTTCGTTCTCCGTCCCTTGGCTGTTTCAACAGACAACAAAACTGTCAACTAATTGACGTTTAACCTTAATTTGCTTTCAATTTCAAAAATATTTGCAGGCACAGCCTACTTCTAAAAATTTTTGAGATACTGACTTTTTAACGTTGTTTTATCATAAATAATTAAAAATGCATCGAACCCTAAAAATCGAAATATCTCAAAAACGGCTAACTGTAACGAAAATTCACAAGGGAGCTTTTTTATGTTGAAAAGTGCGAAGAATCAGTTTTTTTGTTCAAAAAGCAAAACATTGCACCAAGAAAAAATTGTCGGTCATTTTAATACACTACAGGTACAGTAGAGAGCGCCCTCTAGAGGCTACAGTAAAACTATGCCCATGGTTCGTTTTGTCGTACCAAAAAACCCTTGTATGCCAATTTTCACCGTTGTACATCAAATATTGTTCGAAATATTTGAAAAAAACTATTTTAAAAAGTTAATTTAAACACCCTGTATTTCGGAAGCCACGCATTTTTCGACCCATGTTTATATAGACTCTATGCATTAATTTTAAAAGTTCTATCGAATCTGAAAGTTATGCAACAATAAACTGAAACACCCTGTATGTGTGACGATCCCACTATACATACATTTTATATATCTGAACACCTCGCAAAACTTGGTAGTCATGCATGTTTTTGAAAATGTATCAGAATATGAAAGAAGTTATTCATCAATGACCTCAAGCATGGCCTAGTCGACAACCTCATGGGTAATTTGGAGATTTTAAATTCAAATAACAACCACTGCTTTGATAGCAGGTTCATGCAGGCCTCATCAATAAGCATCGTAGGCATATCATCGATTAAGTAGTTTTATTAATCAACAACACGTTCCTTAATGGTGGTTGCTATTTAAATTTCCAAAAGTGATATCCAAAAGACTTTTGAGCCCATCAGCTAAGTCGTATTCGAGATCATCGATGAACTGATTTCTGATATCGTGAAAATTGTATTTAATTTTTTTATGAAAAAGCGTGTTTACCAAGTATTCTGGGTGTTCATGCAGTTTTGCGACGTTACAATAAGGCATACTGATTGAACCACTCATGGCTGCTTGACCTTATGAATGAAAATGCAGTCGGATGTGGAAGTTCGAGTTCCATATGAATTTGAGCATACGAGGTTGACGTCTAAATAACATTTGAGCACATTATTTATATGTAGGTATATATGATATCCTGAAACTCTTGTTCGAACCGTCTTTAAAAAATACCTGACTGTCAAGTTTTTGAGGTGCTCCGGTAATTGATAGAGTGTTGCGACAGAAGGTCAGAGGCATATATTGTACTACCTTCCAGTTTTAAGAAATCAGGCTACCAGTTGACTACTTAATTGTCCGTGATCTACATTGGGAGTCACGTTTTTTGCTTTATCTAACGTAGAATTGCACCACTATACACCACCTACCAAAAATAATAAATGATGGTAGTGGGCCTAATACTAATATAGTCAACGCCTGAAAATACGTTGATACAATGTAGGCTTCGACCAAAGGCACTGCACTGAACAGATATGTAGCTAGACACAAACCAGCTGAAGACAAATAGACAATATCTCTACAACCAGAAGAACATCAAACGATATGTTCCTATCAAGATATGCCAAAAAATGCCTCAGTACCAAGATACAGGGGCTTTGTAAATTTCTGCGCCACTGGTGGATCCCATTAAAAAGAAAATGTCAATACCAATAGTAAATGCGAGATGACAGAAACGTTCAATTCCCACATCTGCGGTTTCATGTGGCCAGTAGAGTGACGATGCTGATGAGCGGGATAACTACAATGTAAGTTTAAGACTTACATCTGAATTATTGAAATAGGTGTAATGGTGTAGTGAGATAGGATATTTGCCCTGATACACAATACACAATTTTTAATGTGAAACATCAGTAACATAATTTATTTCGTTTGACAAGAAGTTCTCAAAGGAGACAATTAATTTAAAGTAGGGCTGGAAATACATAAATTTTGAGTCGATACAATTGTCAGCTAGGAGGAGATATAATTCTATTAATTTATTTTGTATCGATTTTCAGTACCCTGTATCACGGTAGAGATGCATGCGACGACCCATGTTCATATGATTTTTTCGTATCACGTTTAGATTTACTTTCCATTCCAGAAACACTGCCATTGTTTTTTAATAACCCTGTATATACAACAAACAAAAAAATAAGTAATCTCGGCGCGTTGAAATATTTGATGAATGTCTAATTTTATTATACTATTTATTAAAATGCATATTATGCATTTTCAAACCTACTTTCCGTTGAAAAAACAAGTTAAATCTTTACTTTAATTGAGATTATTGAATAAAACACAAATCTAGCACATCACACAAATTTTTTGATCTTTGGGGGCATTTCTAGATCAATTAGAAATCATTTGGTAGATAGAAAAAAATAGTACGCTAAGAGCCAATTTCACCATTATTAATATTTGACCGTCAGCTTCGACCAATTGGAAATGACCTTATCGAAATGAATTTGACGGATGCTGACAAAGCTCTCTGAATATCAGTAATTTCTATTGATATATTAAATGAAATTGTGAAAAAGCGATTGTACTATAAACAAGAGCACTTTTTGATTTCAACATGATGCTTTTTGACACGCTTTTATTAGCTTGGCTTGTATGTATGTATGTATGTAACGGAATCTTTGAGCATAATTTTCACCAATTTCCAGAAGTTTGATTAACTTGAAGCTTCGTTCACGTATTAAGGACCGCAATAATTTGATAACAATGTTCCACTATCCTTATCCAAGAAATTCTGTAAAAAGCAGATTTGTTGATAAAAAGCCACGGATTTCAAATGGCGTCTTACGAATAGCAAAACTATAAACCTCTGTAACTTAGTGGCATTGCGCTGGTCTTGCAAACCAGGAGTCGTGGGTTCAATCCTCATAGGAGGCAGGTTGTTTTTAACACGCTTTTATTAGCTTGGCCGGTATGTATGTAACAAAATCTATGAGCATATTTTTCACCAATATACAGAAGTTTGATCAATTTGAAACTCCGCACACGTATCAAAGACCGATGACAATGTAATAATTTGATAACAGTTCTCCATTCTCCTTATTAGGACCGCCAGGACTGATAAATTCTTTTATAGATCCTCTATAGGGGAGTAAGAGAGATAGAGCTAGCCACAGTACAGCGAAGGCAGATACTTTTTCGAGGTAGTGCATTCTTATCTTGTTCATTGGGAATGCTGCCATCAATGTTGACTTGGGCTTCGACCGTCCACAAGATGCAAGGTTGTACAGTCGATCATGCAGACATTTATCTAGGCTAGATTGTTTGCTGCTGGGCAAGCTTATGTAGAACTTAGTCGTATAAGATCTTTAGACGGTATTCGGATTGAAGAACTTGACTGCTCTAAGTTAATACTAAAAACCCCTTACAACATGGAATAGTTTTCCTTGGCTATATCGACAACTTATGCTACTACCCTTTTGACTTATATTACTCAACAGAGTATGCTGCCCATCAGGGGCACCTGAAAAACAGCATATCCTCTCCTTCACCCTAAAACACCCATAAGTTTAAAACGAGTAAGTCCCTACATCTCCGTGGTGCATAATGCAATGGCATAGTTCTTAGATTACGAGTAATTATCTGAAAATAAAGCATCCAGCTTCAAAATTAAATAATCACAAACACAAAACATATACACTGAAGAAGATTAAATTCCATGCTATTCAAGTATAACACGGCAGACTTATGTGATTGTCAGCGGCCATTTTTTTGAGGGTGCGTCATGGTTACCCGAATGTGCATTAATTCCTCACAGCGTTGCCAGCTACACATATAAATCTGAGATTGCTATACTTTTATATATATATACAGAGAGAGAGAAAATGATCATGCGGAGAATGGTATATAACAAAAAGTAGGAAAATCCGCAAAAAGGAGGATAGGTAACCCGAGTGATACGTATTTCTGCTGGCCCGAAATCCGGATACGGGTGTAACCTGAGGAAACGAAGATGGAGAGGGAAAAAAACGACCCACGAAGTCCACATTATTGTTATATACCTTACCTATATATACAGGGTGACTTTGAAGTTGAGTCATTAATTTTCAGATAATGATTGTAGAAGGAAGATAAACCAAAATATGTGTGTAAAAATAAAAAAAAATAAAAAAAATGTTACCTTGTTTTATAAAGTATCCTCCCGACAAGTATTTCAGTGCGGACCTGTATTTGATCGTGCGGTCTTGGAGCACCCTCATGCCCTCCCCTATGATGTTTTAAGTCACCTGATTCATGAGACCTTTGTACTACATTAACAAAGGCACGAGGGGTTGGTTGCACTCGATTGGGAAACCGATTCGCATAAATGCGTGATGCCGCGGCAGCATTTTGTAAAGACCCCGTAAATAAGAATCATGTCCACAAGTTCAGCATTTTCGAAAACATGTGCCATTTTTTATTTCGTTTGAGCCACGCAACAAACACCACTATTCACTTACGCGTTACCGACTGACACATTGACTGAATACGACTGAATAAAATTGAGTAAAAACATCGTGATAAATGTTTTAAATTCTTTCGCTTTTTTGTTTCCGATGCGATGAACCGATAAGGCGGATTATATCCGTTGTTCCCAGACTCGAGCACATAATATTATTATTGAGACAGGGCGGTACTCAAACCTCTAAAGGGCTATAACTTTGTTAGTTTAATTTTACCAGAAAAATGTTATATGAAAAAAAACATTTCTTTTGATCAGACCTACTCACTGATAAAATAAATGACTCAACTTCGAAGTCTATATATATATATGTTATATGCTCTCAAAACAATGGACTTACTATTCCGTGCAATGTTGCACCAGACGCTAGCTCAGCAACCGATAACGACTTCTCGCTAACTCGTTGTTTACGCTTTATTTTCTAGTAGTGCTTTGTAAGCACACCAATAGTATAAATAGGACTTGCGCCCATTTCATGTTGTTCAATACCCGGTTAGACTCCGTCAAGTCAAGTAATAATTGTAAACGTTTGTAACGGACAGTAGCTACTGTCCTCAAATAAATTTTTTAAAAAGTAAAGTTGAATTTAAACGATATAACAATTGGTGTCAGAGAACTGGGACAGCTTCAACGCATTAGAACACGCGAACGCTCACTAGTGTGGTGAATGTCTATCCTTCGAGCTACAAAGGACCACGAGCCTACAAGTGGTATCAAACCCTTCTACTATCCTAAGCGCATATCCTTCTAAAGAAGCTTTCAAAAACTGCCAATTTTCAAGTTCATACAAATTTAAGTTACTAGAAATGCTTGAAGTAAAATGGTTTTTGACCGATATATAATTTTTATACTCACCATTAAAGGATGGTAGCATTATTTTTGTCAATAGAGCATTTTGCAGGGGATCACAACTAGATCTGACAGAAGACCATCTATTGACAGGTGAAACAGCAGATGGTACATTCGTTGAAGCTGTCACAGTATTTATCAATTCCATTAAAAATGTATGGGCTGCAAAATATCTTTCTTGAAAATCATCTCGCTCAGCAAACTGTGAATCTAATTGATCTTCTTAACACATTTCTTCAATGGATAATTGAATATCAATAGCGATGAATTACTTTTATAACAGGTCCCAATATCAGATAAACTAGGTCTTTGTTTCAGGCCTTGAGCCTTTAATTGCAAAAACATATTTCTCATAAATGGTTAATTTGGTATTATAAGACCCACGGTTTCGGATAAGTGCCCTCAACTCCTTTTCGGACATGCTGAGGTACTCAAAAATCAAAATTCAGATCAAATATTCAAATAATAATAATAATAATAATAATAATAATAAATGCCTTTATTTCCAAACAGTTTTCAAAAAAAAAAATCAGAAAGAGAAACATGAGTATTAACCAAAAAAAAAGGAAAATATAAACAAAAAATAAATAAAACAAATGTCGACTGTCTGAAAACCACAAGGGGGAGTTCACTATCTAGTGCTCTTCCACTCATCCCTTGGAATTGTAAGAAACATTATGCCAGTAGATTCATCCATCAACCATATAAAAACATCAATATGAACAGCATGTAAGTTTAAAAAAAAAAATAAGATAGAAAAGTGAGACATGTGGTAATAGATTTAAAAAAAAAAGAAAGTCTAGAATGTTATCCAACACACAATACGCTGTAACGCGACTTATGATAGAACCTTATTTAGAAATTAATCGTCATGTATTGGTGCATGGAACTCAAATAATACCCAAAATGACTGGGCTATAACAATTTAAACTCGTCCTGTAAATGTACACAGAAACTCGTCGTGCAACGTGCACCGTAAAATCACTCGAAAAATATATAATATTGCCGTAATTGACTCATCAAACGACTTGAGGTAGAAAACAATTAATTAAAATGGCATAAGAAAGATATTATTCAGGAGATCTCAATATTTCAGCAGGTGTCCCCGTCCATGCTTCAACATTTCACCAGGTCAACACCAGCATGGCCGCACCAAATCTTGCCGTTGATTTCTTTATTTCATTTCTCCAGCTGTCATCCGGCTCGAAAGTTCAAAATGTTTGGAAATTTGGACACTTTGGCTCACTGGAGAAACTTTAGTAAACAGTTTTCGATAGCGAATGGGCTCTGATGATATCAGAATAAAATAACTAAATAGTTAGACGATTTGAGTGACAGTTTCTATGTTAAAAAACAAATGATTACACACATCAATGTTTCGTTACGCAAGTGGCGGACGGCGGAACTACGTAACAGAAGTTCCTTACATGGTTTCCACATTTTACAAACAATATTAACACTTAGCATCATCAACAGAAAAGACTTCGAGTAGGTGTCAGCCTGCTCTTCTGTCAGAAATTTAAAATTACTTTGTTTGTTGAACTTCATTTTCTACTAAAGCGCACCGCCCTCTTAATACTTCCCTATAATGTAGGCAACACAATTTCTTTCCCTTGATCGATAGTGTGTCAATAATGTCAATCTTACACGTCACAAAGTCATTGCCAGTCGGCTTCAGCACGTGGTAAACATGAAGATGTTCCGGAAAAAAATGACTGTTCGAAGGAATAATTAATAAATATTCTAATTCATCTTAATCCATTGAAAGCTAGAGAGAATTAAAAAAAGTATAAAGAGTCCTCTTTGCTTAAATTTTGTCGAAGTACCCAACAAAAGGCGGAAGCTTTAATTTTTCACCTAACTGGTCTAGACGACAATGACCACGTCCCAAGTTATATATATATATATATATATATATATAGGTACAACTGATTTTGGGGAATCACTTCCTTGGGGGTGAAATAAGTATATTCTTTTAGCTGCCACCCCTTGAGACGCTTTCTCACACCATGCCACCTAGCCTATAAATTGTCTCTATAATAGAGTAAGTTTTTGAGGTACAGCTCATTTTGGGGAATCACTTCCTTGGGGTGAAAATGAATTTAAAAGTATATTCTTTTAGCTGCCACCCCTTCAGAAGCTTTCTCACACAATGCGACCTAACATATAAATTGCCTCTATAACAGAGTGTTTTTGAGCTTCAACTGATTTTGGGAATCATTTCCTTGTGGGTGAAAATGAGTTTATAAACATATTTGCTTATCTGCCACCCTTTCAGAAGCTTTCTCACACCATGCCACCTACCCTATAAATTGTCTCTATAATAGAGTATTGTTTTGGTGTGCAACTCATTCTGGAGAATCATTTCCTTGGGGGTGAACATTAATTTACAAACATATTTTTTTATCTGCCACCCTTTCTTCAGAAGCTTTCTGACAACATGCCACCTAGCCTATAAATTGTCTCTATAATAGAGTAAGTTTTTGAGGTACAGCTCATTTTGGGGTATCATTTCCTTGGGGGTGAAAATAAGTTTTTAATTATATTTTCTTATCCGCCACCCTTCAGAAGCTTTCTCACGCCATGC